CAAGGTAAAAATAGCAAGTATGAAAGAGGATAAAAGTACCTGCTCAATGCTCCCATCCAAGGCTTCTGTATTGAAAGAGAGCACCATGTTCTCATCAAGTATATTTTCTAAATCTTCAATATGATGTGGAGCTGAAAATAAAATTGAGAACATTAATATGAGTCCCCTTTTAAAAAAGGAGTATGAATGTTTCTTAAAAGGGTCCTTCACAAAACTAAAAGAAAAATTACAAGTTTTGGATTTAAAAAAAAATTCATGAAGAAGATTAACTACCAACGTAGAAAACTATTACTGGAAAAATATTCAGAAAAAATTAGAACTCAGTTCATATTCTCAAATGAAGAATAGAGTTGCTTTAGTTGTGCTTCTAGACTTTAGATCAACTTCCAAGAGGCAAATATATATAATTGAGTTAAACTAAATACTATTCGTAGCATCCAAATGCAGATGGTAGAGACCCAGAATTAAAATTTCTATTTCTAAATTGAAAATTATTATCATTGAAGATCCACAACAAATCAGTTATTATAAGATAAAATATTGACTGGTTCCACCATTTTAACCATGAAACTTATGTTATCAAAATAGACATTTCAAAATTTTCATAAAATTAAATAACTTTTAGATCTTGATATATGATTAAAAGTTTCATTTCTAGATAGTCCACGTGTGTCGGAGCACATCCCATGATACATATTTTCAAATTGGATCTATAATATCCATGTTAGACTATAAATATCTAACAACTTATTTGTATAGGCGTCTAAAAATGCCTATAGGTATCCACACATAGCTCGAGACAATGAGAAGACGATGAACGTCATTATCCAAGTAGAATAGGATTATTCGAGTCAAAGAGGATCATCTGACGCCGACAAGCGCATGAAGCAAATCGGCGAACCATTGATGATGTGGCGACGAACACCCGGAACGGCCAACGCCAAGTGGCCCGCGTGCTCACCGGCCACCACCAAGTGGCCCACACGCTCATCAGCCACCGAAACGGCGAACCAAGTGGCTCCCCCCCCCACCCCCCACCCAAAACCNNNNCCGTGTGCTCACCGGCCACCTCTAAGTGGCTCGCGTACTCATCAGCCAGCTCCAAGTGGCCCGTATGCTCATCGGCCATAGAAACGACAAACCAAGTGGCCTGCACGCCCATCAGTCATCGTCAAGCAACTTGTGTGTTCACGAAATGCATGAAGCGAATCAGTGAAGTGTACAAGTCAAGAAAACGACAGAATGCACGCAGAAGGACTAAACAAGTCCAAACCGAACATACCGAGAAAGCCCCTAGCAGCCGAGTCGTGTCAAAACAACTCGGCCAGGCCAGTGGCTCAGCCATGGGCCGAGGTTCGCGCCTGAACCGAACCGGTTTGGTTGGTTTTGCACTCGGTTCAGCCAGATTCGATCTGAAAACGTGTTTTGACGGTTTTCGACGAGTTTTCACATGATTTTTTTTGTTCCAGAGGTTCCTAACTGCCTAGATGTTATCTCTAAATGTGGTTATACGGTTGTCAACTGAGGATAAGGCCAAATCCATCGTTCTTATTCGAAAATCTCCCAACCGAAGCCTATAAATACAGGCCTAGGGGCTCATTTCACAGGGGTGGGGAAATTAAGGGGGCGAAGTGCTGCCAAATTGGAGAGTGGAGTACGAATTTCAGAGGGTTAGCAGATCTTGGCGAGGTTCCTCAATAAAAAAAAGAGAGTTCGAGAGGTCTGAGACCTATTTCCCCCCATTCCTCTAGATTTAAGCTTGGTCTTAATCCCGAGAAGAGTCGTAATCTCGTTTGGTCGGGATTACCACTTTTGCGAATACTTTCTTTGTGAAGTAGGAGCTTTGATTATCAATCTATCAACCGAATCTGATCCGTGGTGGTCCACGGATATCAACATCCCCGACACAGGCGAAGTTCCCACGCAAACAATAGGCAATAAACATCTATTGTGTGTTGTTTGAAGAAATTGTAATCTTTCATTTTTATTGTTTAAGGAGATCTTATAAAAAGATCAACTTTTTTTTATTTAAGTTTATTATAACGACTGAAGTTGTAATAGATTCGATGACAATAAAAACAGCAATTTCTGACCCAAACAATTTGAACTTAACGCATAAGAAACTAATTTATGTATAGAAAAGAATGAAAAACAATATATTGTAGTTTTTAAATTTTAATTGTAACGGAAAGAGCTAGAATTAGAGTTAACGTTGAACTAGACAAAAACAAGAAACTAGAGGAGAGAAAAGTATTGTACAAAAACCTTTGGATTGAGAGAAATAAGAGAGGAGGGTAGAGGTCAACTCTTCACACTTTTGATGAGATTCCATCCCTCCCCATTCATTCTTGATTGCCATTTGTAGAGCCTGCCATTGAGAGAGAATGAGAGAGATCCCTTCTCTCAAGAAGGGAATGGTGTAAGAAGCATCCATACGAATTCCTCTCTCTCTCTCTCTCTGAGGAGAGAATCAATGAGAACTAGGGAGGGAAATAGAGAGATAAAGAGGGAGTTTAGGGAGAAGAGAGACAAGTTTAGGGAGAAGAGGGACAAAAATAGAAACAAAAGCCAACATGGAATGATGAAGATCGAAGGGAAACATGATGTACACATGTGGGGAATGTGAAAAAGAACGTCACAGATGTGCTGGAACCATAACTTGATTAATTATAATCAAATTTGTCATGACTCAATATATGATAAATATAAAGGATAGGAAATATAGTTATATATATATGTTAGGGATTTTATGGAGATTAATCTGCGGAATTAAACACTAAACAAATAATAGCACCAATAAAAATATCACAAGCAAATAAACACCAAGATTTAACGTGGTTCGACAAATCGTGCATACGTCCACGAGGCAATCCGGAAAAATATTTTACTATGAATCAAGAGTACAATCCCTCCAAGTTCCACCTGAACTTGAGGACTAAATCACAAGAGAAATATACAGTATTACCTCTAGGGCACTAAAACCCTAAAACCCGTCTCACCAAAAATCTCCAACACCCGCGGAGAAACCAACACCGTACCCTCGACGGCGTCTCGTTCTAACGGCTTTTGAATCACTGCAATCAGACAACCGAGCTATCCAGAATCTAAACTTTTCTCTCTTTTTCTCTCTCTCCCCTCTTTTCTTCTATCGGGTTACTATTCATGATTTGCTGTAGCACCAAAAAATTCCAGGTTTCTCATGAATAGAATTCATTTATAAAGAAATTTTATTTTCAGGTCCTCCAAACTTATTCCTATTACAACTGGATCCTCCAAATCATCTTTTAAATAGAATTTTAATTCATGTGGACCTTATCTTGGGCTGGACCCATAACAATCTCTCCCTCCAGCAGAACGAGGGGGTATGTCAATCTGTAACTCCTCAACGGGAGTTCATGTCGGCCAATTTCTAACACAACTTGGTCTTCTCTCTAAAAACGATCTTTGTTAAAAAATTTACTGGATTTTATCTATGTGAATCTTTTGTAGATTTAAGTTCTATTTCTCAATGGCTTCTCTAAGCCAATGATATCTCACATTAATGTTTTTCGTCCTGAAGTGGAATGTAGAATTTTTACTCAAATCAAGAGCACTTTGACTATCAATGAAGATTTGATAATTGTCCTGGTGTAAGCCTAACTTATGCAAAAATCTTCTCAACCAAATCATCTCCTTATCGGCTTCCGCAGCTGTAATATATTCCGCCTCTGTTGTAGATAAAACAATACACTTATGTAACTTGGACTGTCAAGATACTGCTCCCCCCATACAGAAGTAAATAACCAACCTGAGGTAGACTTCTTGTGATCGAGATCACCTGCCATATCCGCATATGCAAAACCATATAATATTGCATTCGAACCTCCAAAACTCAAACACAATCTGGAACTACCTTTCAAATATTTTAAGATCCACTTTACACCTTCCTAATAAACTTTCTCTGGATTAGAAAGAAACATGCTCACAACGCCAACTGCATGAGCTATATCTAGCCGAGTGTAAACCATGACATACATCAAACTCCCTACAGTTGAAGAGTAAGAAATATTCTTTATCTCACTCTTTTTCTAGTCTGTGGTCGGGAAAAACTTTTTGCTAAGCTTCAAATAATCTGCAAGAGAAGTAGTGACTGACTTGGCATCTTTTATGTTGAATCTACTAAGTAGTCGTTCAACATATTTCTCCTGTGATAACCAAAACTTTCTGGCTTTCTTATCACGAGCAATATCTATACCAAGAATCCGCTGTGCCGAGCCCAAATCCTTTATATCAAAAGATTTAAGTAACTCTTTCTTCAGCCTACCGATTATCTAACTATCCTGACCAACAATCAACATATCGTCCACATAAAATAAAAGGATAATGAAACTATAATATGAAATTCTCCTGAAATAGACACACGAATCTGCAATTGTCCTCTAGTAATTATGACTCAACATGAAAGAATAAAATTTCTTATACTACTGTCTGGGTGTCTGCTTCAAATCATAAAGGCTCTTCTTCAACCTGCAAACCAAATGTTCTTTTCCCTTCACTTCAAAACCCTCTGGTTGCTCCATGTAGATCTCCTCCAAATCAACATGAAGGAATGCAGTCTTCACATGAAGCTACTCAATCTCGAGGTCTAAACTAACTACTAACGCTAAGATAACTCTAATGGACGTCATCTTTGTTTGGGTCAAAAGTTGATGTTTTCATTGTCATCGAATCTATTATAACTTTGGTCTTTACAATAAACTCAAATGAAAAGAAAAGACGATCTTTTTATAAGATCTCATTTATATAATAAAAATAAAGATTACAACTCTTGTCAAACAGCGCAACGAACGTTTATCACCCGCTGTTTGCGTGGGAACTTTGCCAGTGCCGGGGACGTTAATATCCGTGGACCGTCACGGATTAGATACTGTTGACAGATTGGTGATCAAAGCTCTTACTTCATGAAGGAAGTAATCGCTGCAGCGATGATCTCGACCAAGCGAGATCATGGCTCTTCTCGAGATTTAAGACCAAGCTTAAATCCGGAGGAATAGGGGACGGGCCTCGGATCTCTCAAACTCCACTCTTTATGCGCAGGAGATCGCCAAGATCCGTTAACCCTTACTGTAAATTCGTGGCTCCACTCTCTAATTCAGCAGCGCTTCGCCCTCTTGACGTCCTCCTTTTGAAATGAGCACCCGAGCTCGTATTTATAAGCTTCGGAAGTAGGTATTTGGATAAGAACGAGGGATTCTTCCTTATCTTTAGTTAAGAACTGATTAACCATAATATCAGATCAGTTGGAATGCTCAGGAACAAACAAATCCTAAGAAAAACCGTCAAAACCAACAAATCATCAAATCTGGCTGATTGTTACCCGGTGGCTCGGCCGCCGAATGACATTTTGATGATCTGGCTTTGGGCCAAACCACTGGTTCGGCCGAGTCATTTTGATGTGACTCGGCCGCCAGCAGCTTTTATTGGTTTTTTGGGTTTTGACTTGTTCCGTCGTTACGCGTATTTCGTCGTTTCGTTGATCTGTACGCTATTTTGGTGGTCGATGAGCGTGCAGGCCACTAGGTGGTGGCCGGTGAGCACGCGGGCCACTTAGTTCGCCGATTTGGTGGCCGATGAGCACGCGGGTCACTTGGTGGTGGTCGGTGAGCGTGCGGGCCACGTCATCAATAGTTCGTTGATTAGCTAGTCGGCGTCGGATAATTCTCTTGGACTTAGATAATGGCGCTCATCACCTTCTCTCTGTCTCGTGCTGTGTGTGGATACCTATTAGTATTTTTAGACGCCTACAGATACCCCCTCTAAAACATTTCAGACTCATTTATTTTATAGAAGAGTCTGGAAGGCTTTGGATAAGATAGGTCTTTTCCTCAATTTTGTAGAGGGACCTGTAAACTGCTTCAATTCTTGACTTCTTCAGCCTTCAGTCTATTCAGTGTTTCGTCGAATAGATGAAGTTCTTCTGGCGCTGCGTTTATCGTCTGACCGTTGTCGAAATCTTGAATTGAAGTCGGTGTGTAAGTTTCTAAACTTAGCTTGTGTCATTGAGTTAACTTTGAACTGATTATCTTCATCGCAACGCGTTGACCGGCGTTAACCTAGAGCTACGCGTTGATCGACGTTGGCCTTAGGGTTTTGTATCGATCGGCGTTGACTTTCATCGAAACATGTTGACCGGCATTAACAGAGTTTATACTCGTACGTTTGCTGGAGTCTACACAGTTTAAGCTCTTAAGGCGTTGGAGCGTGGCGATCCTAAATTTTAGGATGCAGGACCAACTATTAAAGTTGTTTCGTCTGCAGATATAGATTTTATCCTGAAATTGTTAGATGCTCAAGTCACAAGACTAACTAATGAAGTTGATACGTCAATGACTCACATTTATAGAATTTTTGGCAAATTCTCAGCCATCAACGGGTTTGATTAGCCTTTACCGACTACCGTTTGAGTCGGGCTAGCATGCAGGTTGTTTAGACCCGTCTGTATGTAACGTTGTGCTAAAAGAGTTAACTCTTTTAGTGCTATGATATTGAATACGTAGACTTCGTCTTTCTCACGGGAATAGACTACCCGACAACGCATGTTAGACGCTGACTTAGGATTTTTAGCAAATCCTTAGCCTTCAACGGATTTGACATGCCTTTAACGATTACCGTTTGAATCGCGCTTGCATGCGGATTGTTTAAGTCCGTTCCGCATGTAACGTTATGCTAAAAGAGTTAACTCTTTTAGTGCTACGATATTGAATACGTAGACTTCGTCTTTCTCACGGGAATAGACTACCCGGTAACGCGTGTTAGGCGCTGACTTATCCCTACTTAGGCTTCGGGATAAAAGTCCCCAGACTCGGATTCTGGTGTCTTCTTCAAACTGTAAAAGACTAAACCGGCAACACGTGTTAGATGTTGACTTATCCCTTCTTATAATTCGGGATAAAATTTCCCATACGTGTGAAGCACAGATTTTGGTGTTATTAATAACAACCTGCCACAATATCGAATATATGAGCTTTTGTCCTTTTTACAGTAAAAGACTGACCTGCAACGCTTATTAGGCGTTGACTTATCCCTTCTTAGGATTCGGGGTAAAATTCCCCGTGCGTGTGAGGCACGGATTTTGATATTATTTTAATAACAACCTGCCACAATATCGAATATGTGAGCTTTTGTCCTTTTTATGGTAAAAGACTAACCGGCAACGCGTGTTAGGCGTTGACTTATCCCTACTTAGGATTCAGGATAAAATTCCCCGTGCGTATGAGGCACGGATTTTGGTGTTATTAATAACAACCTGCCATAATGTTGAATATATAGGATTTTGTTTTTTTACGGTTAAGAACTAACTGGCAATACGTGTTAGGCATTGACTTATCCCTGCTTAGGATTCAGGATAAAAATCCCCGTGCATAAAAGGCATGGATTTTTATTGCTACGATACTGAATACGTAGACTAGGTCGTTTTATACGGGATCGAACCACACAGCAACGCGGGTTAAGCGCTGACTC